TAATTTTTATGAAAAGCCATTTAAATATGGCCTTGGACTTCATGATATTTTTTATGTCACAATAAAGTGGAAATTTAAAGTTACAAATCCCCTAAAAAGGTCCTCCATCAACTCCTCACAGGACGTATCCATTTTTACCTCTGATTATTGCAGTCAACTTTCCATTCTGGTGGACTGATAAAAGTCTGGTGTGTTGATATTAGTATTTGGCTTTGTTCTGCAGAATGTATTTTGAGTTGAGTGTTATTATAGTTCCTCCTCCCACACTATGTGAAAAGCTGAAGAGGCTTAACAGATTCCCAGGTGCTATTTAACCAGCTCTGTTCTACTTAGAAATCATACTATGGAGTTGGTAGTGGTTAAGGTAGCGGTTAGAAAAACACTAAGGAATTGGTAGTGGTTAGAAAACCACATGTTATTTTCCTGAGAAGTTAAAGAAACTCAACACAATTGAGATTGAATCATTTCCTGAGTATGACTATTATCTTTGACGTCTTCACTGCCCCCACATGATCCCTAAAATTGCTCAAGGAACTCTACTTCTTTGATGCCCCCAGGCCCCATTGACCACTTTCATCAGCCTCCCCCATTACTGCTTTTCTTCTTCCTCTTTTACATTTCACTCACTCCAAAAATGCTCTCTGTCCCAATATAAAGGATACTGAGTGTAGTAGCAAAGAAAACTGTAAATAGCCTAGTTAAAAAAGACGATCTCTCCAAAAAAAAAAAAAATTCACTCCACATTCTTCTCCATAGCTATTATTTCTCTACTCCCCATTTCAGCAAAGCACTTGAAATAACCTTTCTTATTTATTGTCTATCTTATCTTCTCCCATTCTTTCTTGAAACCCCCACCTTCAGCCTGACTGACAACATAGGGATACAAAATTTAACTCTTACTGTGAAAGGCTTAGGCACAAAATAAACCAGGAAGTCATGTTAAGAGCTAAGAAAGTAGCTCTCAACCTGTAATATTTTTACTAATTTAACTAGAAGTAGTCCAAAATGTGAATCAGGCATACATCCCACCCACTAGAAATGTATAGTCTGTTGGGGAGAATAAAAAAATAGTCACAAAATAAGGAAGAAAATGTCACCAGAGAGATGACAGTTAGGAGTTATGGGAGCAGATTTAACTGAGCAGATTTAAAAGATCTATAAAGCTGAATTATTTCTGATGTTTTTAAACTGCATGCTTTCAAAATCACTACATTTCCTAATTACCTCTACTATAAATTGAAATTTCTAAAGTTTTCCTTATCAATGCTACTCTCTATACTCTCAATCTTACAACCAGAATGGAAAAGCCTTTTTATTGAGAACAATTCTACCCAATAAATCTCTAGAACCCAAGGAAAACATAACCAAGGATTAGTACATGCACAAAAAAAAAAAAACACAACTTTTTTCATTCAATTAGAGAGAAAGAGGTCAACGTGAAGAAACTTTGACCATGCAACACAGGGAACAATGGAGAGAGGTCAGTCCAAGCAGCTAGTAGATGGCACCGCTGGAATCTGAACCCAGGTCTGTCTAATTCCAAAGCCCACAATCTTTCCATTTTACAGTCTATCTCAGATACAAATGCAAGTTTAAACTGTTTGTAAAAAGGAGGGAAAGATACCAGCAGAGAAGAAAATATTCAGTCTACAAAAGAGAGGGGGTTGTTCATAGAACTAGCCCCATGGAAGAACTAGAGAAACACAAGAGTCATTGAATAGTAGGTATAGTCATAGAAATGCTGTGAGTGCATAATGGAAACAGGCTAAAAGATTGTCATTTAATTACAGAAAGATACAAACTGTCTTGAAAACAATTGACACATTTGTGGTCTTCAGTGAACTTCTTGTTTTCTTTTCTTTTCTATGTCTGAAGGCTAAATGTCACCTATCTCTCCCCCTTCTTGGTTTTTGCTCTATAAGCAGAAGAAATTAAAACTAGGGCTAGATCTCATCCACAGGCTGGAGGTTTTTACTCCTGCCACCTATCTCCAAACCACCCAAAGACTCCCTCCAACATTCACACCCTCTTACACATGTGCCTCACCGGCTCCTGCCTCCATCCCTTGCTGAAATCACTGTCTGTTAAATCTTATGCACATCAATCTATATCTCTTCTTAAAACTGCTAACATTTCCTTGAAGTCTTCCTGGACCAAATCCCGTGGAGTCAAATCATAGAATTTGATAAGCCTTCTATTCAGCAGTCATTAACTGTGAATATTTCCATGTAATTTTGATTGTTGTGCTCTCATGAATATACATTTGTATTTGATTTTATATTTCTATAAAAATGACACTAGCTCATTGACTGACCAGCTTAATCACAGCTATCTTGGAGAGAATGAGAGAGGAGAGGAGAGGAGAGGAGAGGAGA